TTTAGCAGTCCCTTCTCTTTCTTTCTTTTCTTTCTTTTGTATTTTTTTTTTCATTTCACTGCACCGCTGACCAATTTTTAAGAAACACTGATCATGAACCCTCTTCTGCCTATAACTGGATCAGATTTAAAAGATACCAAGGAGGAAAAGATTCAGTCTCTTTCAATGTAATTCTGTTAAATGAGATTCTTATTCAATCTTTAGCAAACTGCATTGATTCTTATAATTTTCAAACTAAATTTCAAGTGCTAAATTGAAACCTGGTTTAGTTCATTATGTCCTCAGTGGAGGAAAAAAGTAACTCTCACCATCCTCCATATAATAATACAGGTAACTCTTGAAACAGTGTTAAACTCTCCTCAGTCTTGGCTGCCTTAGTCCTTACAGCTGTTTCTCCCAGGTCCAGTTTTCCATTCATTCTTTCTCTTGGCACAGGGAGGTCCTGGGTCTTGGGCACACAGTGAGGAAAGCATTGAGACTTTGTACTCAAACATGCCTTGTGCAAAGAGGGCTGTGATAAGTGCTACTCCTATAACCCAGTGAGAGAGGGATGAGGGACAGCATTCTGACTTGTGTGAACTGTAAGAGATCTGAGAGAACCAGCTAGGACAGCCAAAAGCGTTCCTCAGGGCACACCGGACCTCATGGATGGTGCTGGGGAGTGCAAGTTCTGGGGTCAGCCTGCCCAGATCCCCAGGACCTCCCTCTACATGCTTGGAACTCCACCACACTGACTCTATTGCTGGAATTATAAAATGCGTATAATAACATACTTCTTTGGGGCGCCTGGGTGGCTCAGTCAGTTGGGCGTCTTCCTTCAGCTCCAGTCATGATCCCAGGGTCCCAGGATTGAGCCCCGCATCTGGTTCCCTGCTCAGTGGGGAGTCTGCTTCTCCCTCTGCACCTCACTCTGCTTGTGCTCTCCCTCCCTCACTCCCTCTCTCCCAAATAAATAAATAAATAAATAAATAAAATCTTTAAAAAAATAACATCCTTCTTCAGTTGGGTTGTTTTGAGAAATAGTAATTAAATGGGTGAGGTTCCCAGGGCAGTGGCTAGCATGTAGCAGTTGCTCAGGAAATATGTGGCCTAGCTCTCGTGGCACAGCAAACAGCATACGTGCCTTCCGACTGGCTTAGTTCCCCACTACCTAATACAGTAATTTTATTATTATTTTTTAAAATTGAAGTATAGTTGACAGGCAATGTTACATTAGTTTCAGGGGTACGATATTGTGATTTGACAAGTCTATACATTACCTTGTGTTCACAAGTGTAGCTACCATGCTAACACTAATTTTTTAAAAAGGTTTTTATTTATTTATTTGACACAGAGAGAGAGAGAGACAGCAAGAGAGGGAACACAAGCAGGGGGAGCGGGAGAGGGAGAAGCAGGCTTCCCGCGGAGCAGGGAACCTGATGCGGGGCTCCATCCCAGGATCCTGGGACCATGACCCAAGCCAAAGGCAGACACCTAAAGACTGAGCCACCCAGGCGCCCCACTAATGTTAATTTTAACACAGTAGTTTAAGGACTAGCAATTGGCCGCTTTGGTATTAGACTGTTGGTATTAGTTTATCTTTATTTCTATCAGACTATTAGACTTTTATGTTGGCCACAGTATCTTGCTTCTGAATAGTGGTTTAATTATCACCCAAGCAAAACTGTAATATTACAGTCCTATCATAGGTCTTTGACCAAGAACACAGATATTTCCATATGAACCCCTCTTGAAACTGGTTGTGGTATGGAGCAGCAAGGCTTGGGAGGCTGTAAAAAGAGACCATTGATGTGTGAGTTGCAGCTAAACTGAGCTCTAGTTCAAGGCTGGTAATAACTGGTTGGATAAAAGTCCCCCAAATTTCCCAAGTTTTATTCATATCAAAAACGAACACTTTTTACCTAACATAGCTGGATACCCAGAGAAAAGATTGTTACAAAATGCAAACAAACAGGAGTCCATTCATTCACTCGCAAGACCACCCGCTATGCCTGAGGCACCCTTCACTGAGGCCCAGCGCTCAACTCAGACAATGGGCACAGCCCTTGTCCTCAAGGACCTCCATCCATTGTGCAGTACCTCATGTTGTACTGCTGTTTGCTTAAACACTGAAGATCATGTCCCTAGTGTTCGTTTGTCTAGTTTCACCTCTTTTGGTAAGACAGTCGTTACTCTGCTGGGGTAGCAAAGATAACTCCCACTCTCTCCTACCAGGAGTGCCTGAATGCCTGGTGGGTGCTCAGAAGCGCTGACATGCGCCTCTCTTCTACTCACAAATCACTGAAGATGTGCAATATCCTTTTTAAATTGAAGATGATGATGATGGGGTGTGTGTGTGTGTGTGTGTGTGTGTGTGTGTGTGTGTATACCCATGTGAGCCACTAAAGCAGTGTTCATGACACCCAGTGGTATTATAAATGAATAGGAATGAGGCAGGGCACAGTCATGTTAAAAAAAATACCATCTAACTTCTCCCATGTAAGTTGTGGGGCAAAAAATGTATATTCACATATAACACAAGTTAAGGATTTAAGACCATAGTAGGTTCAAGTTAAAGAGTCTAAATAAACAAGGCAATTAAACAAAGAACACATTAAGCTTCACTTTCAGAAAAGTAAGTGCAACTTTTTAAAGTAGGTGTTGCTTTTGCTTGAAAGCAAATACAAACTTTACTGCTTACTAGATATGTGACCTTCAGCAAGGTAACTGTCTGAATCAGGAAATATGGAAGTTTTGGTCTCATGAGCTCAAGGACTGCATGAACCATTGCAGGTACCATGCTTAGCATAGCACTTGGCAAATAGACTTTCATTTAAAAGGAATTGCTGTTAGAATTATTATTTATCACCCCCACACCACCTGGGATGTTTGCAATTAAAAACCGAGTCCTTGGACAGTTAATATGTTAATTCATTGGGATGAACCCTTGGTGATATAACTTTTAATACTATGGTATGGAATTAAAGGAGATATATAAATTTGTGTGTAATATATTTTGAAGAAAAGTGAATAAAAATAAGGATGACTGTAGTGGTAGGATGCACAAGTCTAAAAGTGGGCGTGTGAGTATGTGTAAATTATGCTGTAAATGACCACACAAATGGGAAAATTAATATAGCAACTTCTCCGCCTCTATTCCTCTGATCCCTCACTTTTCGGATTTCTCCTTTCTTTAACTGCTGAAATTGTATGCTTTCCTCACACTCTCTTCCACATTTTCCTTTCCTTTGACTCCTGTGGCAAGCAGAGAGCCCCCGATACCTCTTGTGCTGGTTTGCTCATTGTTTTATGTTTGTGTATATAATTGCCCCAATGACATCCCAAATTCCAAAAGATCACCTTTATTATGTTTATTCACCAAAAGTGCAATTCTGGGCTGAAAACTGATAATATTTGTAAGTAATATTTCTATGGACAAACATCTGTAGCTTCAAAAAAATCATTATTTCCCAAAAACCCTCAGAGGAACAAGCAAGTGAACTTCAGAAAATAAGATTAGCAACTCAGGTAGAATTTTGAAGGTGACACTCTGACACTCTGAGTTTCCTAGAAAAGTAAGTTTCTTAATTTGCTCATCCATCATCTTCTTTCTGTGACATAAGGAAGAGAAAGAAAAGGAATAAAGCTAACATGAACAACTGAAGCCATAGGCATCCCAGCGATGCTGAGTTTTAGAGGGGAGAATGCAGGGAGGTGGCTCTGTCCCAGGAGAGACAGGGGACACCCGTGACTCGTGTTATCATCAGGCTCCGGAGTCAAGGCTGGCCTGCAAGGACCTCCAGGAACAGACTCAAAGCTCTTTAATAAGTATTCCAGGGAGTCAAGTTTCCTGGAAAAAACAAATTAGTGTGAGAAGCCAGTACTGTGCAATTTCAGTTTTAAAAATAGCCAAGTGTTGTTCGGGCTGCTATGTGATGAGAGAAAAAGAAAGCCCTTGTTAATATTTGCCTCAGCTTTCATATTAAAACAGAGGAGCGACCCTGAAATTCTTGCCTGGCAAATACGGCCAAGGTCATGAGGCTTGTATCACTTGGAGTCACTTTTTAGTCCTTCAGATGACAAAGTTTGGGGGGACCATGTCCCCTTTTCTCAAATTGGTCTTGCAATAAAGGACAACCCAGCGATGGCCCTGCCTCTTTCACTTACGACCAGAGCTGCGCTGTGCTGTCTGGTTCTGCTCTTCATCTGCCTTATTGCCCGGGAGGCTGGCAGGGATGTTGCCTGCAGCCGGCTGTGCCTCTACCCACTGCAGAGACCCTACCTGGTGCTTGGAGTTGGTGCATCAGCATTTCAGGTAGAAATGAATGAAAAATCAATCAGGATGACTGCAGTGGTAGCATGCACAACTCGAACCTAGTTTGTCCCTCATTTTCAACTCTTCACCATCGACCCAAGCAAGGTTTAAGATGGTAAGTGAATCTGTAATAAATGTGTTGCTTTTGCTTCACCAGGGATTTTTTTTTTTTTTGGTCTTCTTTTTTTATTCAGAACAAGCAAATCTAACCTGCTCAGGAAGCTACATGTAAAAAGAATGATGATGTCAACTTTCAAGCACATATTCTTTATTTGCCCTGGTTTAAGATTCTAATTAGACCAGCGATTACTCCTCTACAGATACATCAAATGGTTGTTCTGTCAAGTAATACTTCAAATTCAGAGATTTAAATATTTTTTAAAGTCTTTCTATATCATTGCCATATCTTTTTGTAACCAGCTATAACTCTTTATATCAAAACAACACTGATTTAAATTTCTAGATTTACAATTCTGCAAAGATAGAGTTAAACACTGTTTGGACTCTGGCTACATAAGGGAAACTGGAATTGTTCAAAGCTGCAGTCTTCAGCTCCCAAAGACAGCTACAGTAACTTTCTGAACAGATTGGGTTAAATATTTTTACAGACCCATTCTATGATGATAAGGCGGTAATAGGTAGTGCAGTGCAACACTCCAAAGGGTTCCAAATCTCACAAGCCTCTTTGTATGTGATGCTCTCACAGTGAAGAAGACTCCCTGGGTTATAAAGATGAAGAGTCTACTTCTTCTGGTGCTGATTTCAATCTGCTGGGCTGATCATCATTCAGACAACTATACTCTAGATCATGACAGAGTTATTCACATCCAAGGTAAGAAAACACAGGTTCTCTTATGAAAGTCAAATTAATTTCAAGTCACTTGGAGTTGGGATGTTTGGTTGGTGCTTCTCAATTTTAGTTCTGCTGCATTGACTTTTTCTTTTCCTTTCTGTTAATTGATGAACATGCTCTCCGGCTTTTGACTGCTATTGCATTACAGTAGGGTTAAGAATTGAGGATGATTAAAGTGGAATGGCTTACGAATGTCCAGATGCAGGGGGGTTGATGCCATTGTTCAAGGCTTTGTAGTACAGTTGCTATCTTCTAAGTAGAATGCAGAGCATCAATTTATTTAAATGTAAGCGAGAGGGGGGAGACAGAGGAAGTAAAACTTAGGATGCAAGGTCATTCTGTGAGAGTGATCATTAAGAAAAACAATGTGAAAATGAAAGTGAGACAAGCTAAGGTTCAAGAGAGATTAACTCACTTTCTGACACTCTCCTCTGTTAAAGCTTTAGTTTCCCATCCACCAGTATATTGCTCCTGCATATTTCTTTTCAGCTCGGCTGAATGCTAAGCTTGAGAGCTGTAGCAAGATTTGAGGCTGCAGTAAAATGCAGCTGTCTCCTCAGTCCCAGCTTCAGATGAGGGACATCCTGCATTAAGAAAGCTGAGAGACTTATGCAATAAGAAAAAGAGAGTTTTAAAGGAGCTGTAGTGTCTCTCTTTGCCCTTGGATGCTGAATAATTCAAATAAGAATTATAGACCATAACAGCTTAAACATATGATGATATTAATTTTAGATGAACTCAGTTTGGGGACAAGAGGCATTCTAAGTTTGCCAAGAGACATAAAACATTAAGTTATATCTTCAAGGTCAAAAGTGTACTCTCAGAAAACTGCCATCCACTCTTGGAAAGTATGATTTGTGAAGGTCACATGATAGTGTAAGTCTTGCTAGAAGTATTTTCCTGCCTATATTATGACTACACAAATAGAATTCTGAATTTGACAATGTCTAGCTATTTTAGACATCTCTCTTACAGTTCTCTTTGCTTCCCACAGCTTTATGTTTTCCAATGTTGGACCGTGAAAAGGAATTATATAATTGTAAATTTTACTATGCAAGCTGCTGACTCAGCTATTTCTTTTAATGTGTATAGTAGAATCCAAGCTGTCTTCCAAAGGCTTTACGGTATTTACACACAGAGATTTCTTGAGGAGGGATAACATCCTTTAACATCTAATCGCAGAATTCAATTCAGCCAAAATAGTAATACCTACTCATTAACAATAGCAGTTTTAAATCCTCTGTAAAATAAATTTTGGCTGTGGTTTCAAGTAATTATTAAATTCCTATTACATTATTAACCATGTATAAAACATTTAGTCTAAATTGTACCCAGAGTATGAAAATATCATTTTTAAAATACTCCTGGGGAGTCTGTAAGTCAGACTCAAGTGTTCTCAGTGAGGAAAAGTTCTGTTGCTCCAGCCTTTCCAACCCCATATACTCTGCTGAAATTTAGTGCAAAGGCATTTTTGACACAAGTGATCAGAATTATCCAGATCATTTGCATATACTACACAGTTTTTTAAGTGACTTAATAGTCCACTTCATTTTAATTATAAATTCATATGCTTAGAAAGTTACTCACAGCTTTCAAGTAATAAAACTACAAGGCCTATACTTTGCTTGTGGAAGTTGATACTGAAATGTGATTTGGGACAAGATTATGATGCTACATCTGTTAAGTCGAAATTTATTTTAAAATTACTCTAAATACCCATCATCGTTATTTTTATTCAATAAAACATTTTCTTTTTCCTTTATGATTGCATTCAGATTGAAATTTCATATTCTTCAGTCCTTCAGAGAAATACCTCCAAATGGTCTGCCATAATTTCAGTGGTCTTTTATAATGCAAAAGTGAACCATAGAGCCCAGTAAATAATCACTGAAGCAGATGACCTCTACTACATACTGAAATACTATATTATTTTCTCACATTTAAAACTGTTATTTATCAAACTTGGCCCAGAAGGAATTTAAGGGAGCTGAAATCCTCCTAAAATTTTATATGAATTTTACAGTCAGAAGATTAAATTAGTAATCTAAATCTCAAATTCCTGAATTGGACTGATAAGCAGTATGAGCTTCTCTCAGTGATAGAAAATTGTTCAGGGGTGCCTGGGTGGCTCAGTCGTTGAGCGTCTGCCTTTGGCTCAGGTCATGATCCCGGGGTCCTGGGATCGAGCCCCGCATTGGGCTCCCTGCTCCGCAGGAGGCCTGCTTCTCCCTCTCCCACTCCCCCTGCTTGTGTTCCCTCTCTCGCTGTGTCTCTCTCTGTCAAATAAATAAACAAAAAATCTTTAAAAAAAAAAAGAAAATTGTTCAAAATTCATGTTACTACAAAAACAATTTTTCTATCTCCCATTTTTCATTAAATTTCTATTTTTGTACTGTAAGTTCTCCAGGCTTAAATAATACTGGAGGAATAATGCCCACCATCCTCGAATTCTCCTTGGCTGCCATGATAAAGATGTTCAACACTTTAAGACATTCTTGAGTCACATGCGTAAGAGTTACCTAATTATTTTTCTGAGGGCTTCCTCCCAGTTTTGTTGTGGGAACTTTCATAGAGATATAGGCACAAGAAACTTAATCTGGGTTAAAAAATAAAAATAAAAAAGTCAGGTTACCAGGGGAAAAAAAACAGCAAGTGGAGGTCCCTGTGCAAAGCGTTTCTAGTGAAAAGCATTTTCTCGTGATGAGAACTCTCCCAACTTCCCATGGGGAAAAACACAGGTTTAAATAAAATTGCATGAGTACTAATTCATTCCCTTTATTTTTATTTTTTTTTGTTCAATCAATTTGGTTACACGAGAAAGCAAATTCCACTTGTCCAAGAAGTCTGTTGAAAATGCGTGGTCAGTATATTCACTTGTATATCATACACTGTCCTCAGTGTAGGGAAGGGTAATTTCCTCAATTACTTCTACAGGAAGAGAGAGCTTTAGCTAATGTCTTCTCCCTAACACTCTCAACTAATGGATTAGACTCCTCATTTCATAAGGTGCCTCATTAAACAACTTCTAAATCCTTTGAAACTTGAGATCATCAGGAAGAATTTTGTATGGAGTACCAAATCACACAGAAGCACAATTTTTAACATATTTGGATTAGATCCAAAAACACTTTGTGTAGACTTTTAATTTCCGATAGAAATTCAGAGGTGATGAATATACTTTTTAAAATACAAGTCTTAAGACAGCAGAGAAATGTTATGACCACTTGCCCATTAACCAATGTGAAAAGCAAAGTAGTTACAGTTACACTGAATACTGAAGTGCTTGACCTTACCCAGGTCGGAGAGCCAGCACTTCCTGCCTCTGGTGTTCAAGAAAACGTGTTCTGATGGCAAGTTCAAGATTGTTAGCCTTACAGCCACTTACTGGTTTTAGACCTTGGACAACTAACTTCATCTCCTCAAGTCTCAGTTACCACATCTAGAAAACTGGGCATGATCACAGATTCCACAGAGCACTGTGAGAATTAAATTAGATAATACATAGAAAAGTGCCTAGTACTGAGCCTGGCAAACAATAAGCTCCCGATAGATAATAGTTGTTGTTGTCACGGTTATTACTTCCTAACCGTCATGGAAAACTGACTTTTATGGGCTTGGGGGTGGTGGGTTAAATGAGTGATGGGGATTAAGGAGGTCACTTGTGATGAGCGCTGGGTGCTGTGTGGAAGTATTGATTCACTAAATTCCACATCTGAAACTAATGTTGCACTATATTTTAACTAACTAGAATTTAAATAAAAACATGGGGAAATATTAATGAAAATAATAACAGCAACAAAAAAATGACTTTTAAACATAAAAGGGAGCACAAATACTGGTGGAAAGATGTCAACTTGTCAAATTCATTTGTTAACAGAACCATATCATTACCTTAGTTCTAAGGATGTAAATATTTTCTAAGTTGCCTTCTTTGTCCTCTTTAATTTCACAATTTAAGATTTCCCCATCATCTGATCATTTTTACTTTCCTTGTGGAAACTGAAGCTTTCCAAACTTAAGTAATATTTAAGGTGAACACGTATAAGCTACTTTAAATTTTTTGAAAGAATAATAAGAGGAAAAAATAATGTATATCTGGAAGCCCCGTGGGAAGTGGACACTCCCACTCAGGGTGGTTGGCCCCTCCATCCAGTGTGTGTCCCAGAAAACCCCTCTGCTCCAGTGTAACATGTGTCCCTTTGTGCTAACACGCCTCCCTTGCCTCATCACACTGTGCTTGGCACACAGTAGGTGCTTAACATGTTTGTCGAAAAATGAAGGAGTGTAATGAGATACTTCCAAATGACTACTATCATGATGAGGACTTCTGAAATCCTGTGGCATTCATAGCATTTAGTGACACATGGTGAGGGCTGGATGAACACTATATGACTGCTTCTGCTCTGTAATGTTGGCAGAAGTTAAATCATCATTTATGGGATTTAAGAACATAAAAGAACTAGTGTAGATCATCTAGATCAATATCCCATCATACCAATGGGGAAATCAAGACCCACAGCTTTTATGTTGCTTGTCCCAGGTGGCATGGCTGATGAGGGGAAGTTTCTCTCTGCTAATCTCCCCCCTTCTTCAAATCTGAGGTCATTTCCCACTTTCTTGATGAATTCTCCCTGTCAACTGCATTCTGCCCTTCCTCTGGCACCCCAATCTCTCTCATACCTTCCTTTCCTTTTCTCTACAGCACTGGGGTTACTATTCTACTTATTTTTCTGTAACTGTATCCATCTCTGCCACGTGTGTCCCTCAGCTCCACAAGGGTAGGTGGGGATCTCTGTCTGATGTATCCTAGTCACCTAAACGATGACCTGGCACATAGTAGGTGGTCGATATATCTTTGTTGAATTAACCCAGGACCAAAATCCAGGTACTTTTCCTAATCAAGTCCTAGTCAGTCTTTCCAAAGCTCAGAGATGTCTTTCCAGTGCATGGAATGAGATGCGGCAGATGAGGAAGAGGAT